TGTTTATTCCCAACCATCCTCCAATCAGGACAATATCATTATGTCATAGGTCATTGCAAAGCAAGGGAGGATGTATCCAATATCCATCTATCAGAGAGATTGTTTTGTTATTTCATTTAGCGATGATATATATAAGAAAATGTATGCAACCATCAACAATTATGATGTAATTGAGAAATACAAATTTTAACTATGTGTTTTAAAATTTGATGAGGAAATCTGTTAATAAAATCATAGCAAAGGGGCAGCAAGCTATGGGCACAAGTAATGTGTACCAAATGGGTGAATGCAACGAAAATATAGAAAATCTATTGAAAATCATAAAACATATTTTAAAAAAAATCCCCTCCAAAGCGTTGTATTTTTTAAAAAAATTAAATTACTTAGACATCCCCATGCCATATATATCGTCATTATTTATTTAACTATGGAATATTATATATATTTATTTTTTTATTATATTAATATACATCATTTCATCTCTATTGCTCCAATTATATTTTAAACAAATGCTATATTTTTCTATTTTATTACAATTTTCCTCTTAACCAAAAAAATAATTCGCACCTTCAGACCATCAATTACAAAAATCGACAAAACAACCCGCAAAGAATAAATAAACATATTTAAATTAATAAATATTATATATATTAATAAATTGATCTATTATTACGTATAATATCAATAATCGTCTATAATATATTATTTAAATTTAAATTCCCAAAAAATTATAGCGATATAATATTTATCTAAAATATATATATATATATTTTTTTTTTTATATAAAGAAATATAATTTAACATTAATTTTATATCGTATTGTTTATATATATATATTAATATCAATTATGTTCGTCCAATTTTTTTCCTATTAAATTCGTCCTTTATATTGAATAATCGTGTTTTATTCATTTTAAATATATATAATATTGATTCCGTATAATATTATTCGATCAATCTCAAAGCCTAATTCCTTATGATTCAAGGGTCATTAAACACGCCGTACCAAGCAACCGGCTGCGCCAATGGAAAAAAGCACGTGACCTCCGTTAGGCGGTAACTATTCATCCTTGTCGATATCCACACCGTGTTGCTCTTGTTCCGCTTACCATGTTACACATATAATACCAACATCTAAGAATAATACTATATATATATAATATAGTTGCCCATATAGTTATATATGTTGTTTCTTTTTTGCTTTTGGTAGGGATTTCCCAGCTCTGTGGGATTCAGAAGATTTATCCTAGTTCGATCATCTATTCCACCTTGGCCTTAGTGATCTTTGTCAGCTTCGGGAACCTCGGAAATGCGATCAGAATCAAAGATGATGGATGATGATGGACACAAACCCAAGCCTGCAGAGGTTTCAACGTCTTCATCTTTTCGGGAACACCAAATCCACTTGGACGCCATCTGCCGTTCTCTCTTTAAAAACGGACGCATCCCTTAGGTCCGATCTTGGAGTCTAAGTAGGCGTTGCCAGATGCAGTGATGGCACCTCAGCGTTCGCATCGCAGGTCGTTTCGTGGCCCACGGTGCCAGCAACGACGCTGGCCTGAAACCTCCAAACGCCCGGCCATGGGGCCCCAAGTGGGCCATGGTGCTGTACAAATCATCAGACCTCTTGCCAACACACACTTTTAAGATCTTTTTAAGAGTGTTCTGAATCCTTTACAAACAGAAGCCAACATCTTCTTGGATGGGCCACCACAGCTAGGTCATCCTGACACGTGTCTGAACTGGGGAGGTCCTTCACAGCACTTCTATATTCCCTGAATGGTTACGTAGCATGGATGAACATGACTTCGAATTGATCACTGGTGGTGTTCACTCCACGTCCGCCGAGACGGCGTTTTGAGCCGCTTTCTGTGACGAACCGGACGAACGAACCGGAATGCGCGCCTTGGTTCGGTTGTTCGCCGTAGCCGGCATAGAACTGGTCCACCACCTCAAAAGCAATCACCCCCACGGCGATTGAGTGGGAGCAGGTGGGGCTGTTTTTGCTTTCGGATCGTGGGAAAGACCGGCCTGAAGCAGAAACGATCGTCCCAAAGACAGACTCCTTAACATGTTTTGCTCGTGACATCGGGTATGGTTTTGTCAGCCATCCTGTCAGCCATGCTGTCAGTGGAGGAGAAGCCCTGTTTGGACCCTATTTGGGCCTGGCCTGCATTCCGTTGTCGACCACTTCGCCAATGGGTGCGAAGCCTGCGCCGACCACTACCCAGCACGGTCTTTCGATCCAATCTGATCCCTCTTTTTGCTCCTTCCGGCGCTGTTCGTGAGGAAACTCGCTTAAATGTCGACCAGCTTCCCGTTGGCCGTTTTCTCACTGAAACGTCCTCAGCAATGCTGGCGGCTACGATGGGTCACTGATGGATCCAGAAAGACCAGACTCCACGGCGAGTCGAAGACAGACACCCTGTATTCAGAGCCCCTGCGCAACGCAAGATGAAGGAAACCAACCTTCGAATTAGGGCACTGCCTTGGCAGAAGGTGGCCAAGCATCACCAACCATCAAAACAAAGCGCATCTTGTCCTGCAAAAGGCGGGTGAACAAAGGGCAGTGGCAAGAACATCCAGAAAAGGCCTACCCTCCTAGCATGGCGGGCGCCCCATGGACTGGGTTGACCAATGGGCACATTAGCGCATCGTCCCATTGTCATCCACCACTGGTGGGTTGGCCTCAATCGTCCCATCGTCCATGAGCAAATCCACGGGCTGCCGGCCCCTCGCCACGCGCCCCACACCCGGCCAACGGTGTGAACTGCGGGTAGGGCTCGAGGTTTCAGGTTCGCTGATTTTCCCAGGCCCCTTTGGAGCAAATGCAAGAGTTCAGTAAACAGCCTTCTTGTGGGCCAGTTGCCTGCCCTCTAGTCTTGGTATCTGTCTTCAAGGGCTCAAGAAGCCTGAAGAGGCCTCAGCATGCTCACCTAAACCGAAACCTGAATCGAACATTTAAGACCTAAGCCAAACAAATGTTGACCATCAGGCCTCAGTCCGGTGTCCAGTCCAAACTTTCCAAAAAGACCGCTGTTGCCTTGTCCATCAAGGAAAGAATTGTCCTGGCGGCACGGTGGTGTAGACTTGACCAAACAGCAAGGGCCTTCCACTTTGATGTTGACAATCATGGAAACTGCCAAATGATGGTTGAGAACATGTTCTGTCCATCTTCTCTGTCAGGTGGCTTTGCCATTCTTTCTGCTCTGCTGGTGCTTTGCTCAGCTTGCGGCATCATTTCTAGTTTTCGTCCCACACGCTGACTCGTGCTGCTCCTTGTAGTTGATGAACATCTGCGAGGTTCGGGTATTGGGGCCAGCAGTGGCAAACCTCAGCTTTCCTTTGCTCAAGGATCGCTCGATCTGATCGATCTTGGCCATCTGGATCGGGTCGCAGGGGGTGAATTGGAAGTATCAGGGGAGAACAATCCCTGCCCAAGTCAAGAGATCGACTTTCTACGGGGCCCAAAGATTTCAACCGCCACATCTCTTCTGGCCACGAGACGGCGCCCTTTGGGATTCGAAAAGATGGGCGCCCTCTGAGTGAAAAAAGGGCTCTTGGACTCGACTCGTGCCCCCGGCCGACCGGCCGACCGTCCCTCGCGGGGCTTTTTGCTCGGACCCCCCGGCACGACGGTGCCCCGCTTGTTGCTGACCTGGCGTGGAGTCTCCGGTTGTGCGGAGTTCAGTCGAAGAAGGAAACGGCGCTGTCGGCGGTTGGATGTGATGAGAACGACTTCTACCCGAGGTTGGTGCTGTTCAAGAGCCAAACAGCAGAGCCGGTCACTGGAACAATTACTTGGCCTTTAGTCTCAAATGATTTTCAGGACCGAAAACGGCCTCCCATGCCAGGACTCTACAGTATCGCACAGTGCTTGGTCTGTCCCCTAATTACCAGCAGTACTCAGCGACCTTTTGTTGAAATCAGTGGATGATTTGCAGCAACAAAAGTCAAAGAAAGTTTACAGTAAACATTAGCCTTAGCGCCACAGCGCTGTTGAAATACCCAATTCCGCTCAAGAAACTGCTTGATCTTCGTAAAAGCTTCTCATGGCCCACTTCCACACCTGCGTCGCAGAACACTCCGCCCAAATCCCTAAGTGACCTCTCGCTTCATCTACCTCAAGCAACCCTGCCACGCTGTACCCATCTCCGTCCACGACTGGCGCGTCCGGGACGCATGGCCGCTGTCCAATCGACCGCGTGGCGGCTGTGGATCCCCCGGAGTTCATCAGGGTAGAAGGAGACCTCCTGGAAGGTTGACCTCTTTGCTGGTCCCAGGGGCCTTCACCGGGTCGTCCGGGATGTTCGCCAGCTTGGGCTGCGGCTTGGCAGGCAAGCCGAACCTGGCCGCGAGCGAGCGGCTCGTGCACACGGAAAAAGGAGCGCTTGCAGCGGGGAGTGGTTGGCAACAGGGCCCCCCCGACAGTGGAGCGGGTGCTTGGTTGGGCGAATCTTCCAGCGAAGCTCATATGGAGTGCGTGGTTTTGGTGGCATCTCTCCACAAGCGAGGCCTGCCCATGTTGCGCAAGGAGCTACACTCCCTGGAACAAACATGGAAGTGAATAGTACCACCTGTTTCTAGAGGAAAATTGTCATCCAAGAGGGTCATATTCCACTTCCATGATTGTTTCAGGGAGTGTCTCTTAAAAGGGTGTCCATGTTGCGCAACTTCGCTTTGGACACTCCTCTGACTCAATTCCATGATGCTTCTGGACGTCGGGAGGGTCCAGAAGCGCGAACATTTGAGCTTGATCCAGCTTGATCTTACTTGAATCCCACACCAGACATCCATAGTGGATCGGCAGAGCAAGGCCCGGGGATCGCCTGTTAATAGTATCCCACCAGCAGATGGAAACTGGCTGCAGTTGGTGAGCTCAAAAGAAGATCGTAAGCACCTCAGCCCGCCTCTCGCACCATTGTTACTACAAGCCAATGGCTGTGTGTCAAAGCCGGGAACTCACCCTGGTAGGTTGACGTGACTAGTCAGGTCACATCGCCTCTGTGGGAAACACCGGTTTTTCGGGTCCCCCGGTGCCATAGGGTTTCTATGGGGCGCCCGTGAATTCAAAGGAACTCCACAACACGCGATCCCATTCTCCCATCCTCCTGGTGGTCGAGAATGAGCGAAGGAATTTAGGAATTCCACTTCCACTGAACAAAAATACGTACGTTCATGAACGGAAGGTGCCATGAATCTGGGTCACCCCATAACTATCCATGACTATAGACATACTCTGAATTCTTTATCAATCTTTATCATACTTTAACTGGGATTGGGTGGATTCGGGTGGTACCCAGGCCTATCCCCCAGTCCGACCGGGCGATCGACCCGTGTTCTCTCGAGTCCCCCCGCTGCGCCACGAAGCCGGGCACGACCCGAAAGACGCCGGCCTGGGCCGGGGAATGGCGAGCTGAGGAGGTGGGGGAGGGGTCGGCTTGGGGATGGCGACATGTCATGCTTGGTCATGCTTGGTCATGCTTGGTGAAGCAAACAGAAGGGAAGGCTCCCTGACTTGAATTTTAAAAAAACAAAGTTGAAGGGTGGAATGGCAGTGTAATGGGGTGGAACATACGAGCTTTTGATCGTTCCACCCAGGTGGTCAGCAGCTCACTGATCAGCAAGGGACCGTTCCATCCAAGGGACCCTGGGAGCGATCTTTGATGCTAGGGACCCTCGGAGATGGTCGGCTCCATGCTGTGACATACTGGAAACAGCAAACAGCCCGGGGGGGGGGTGGCCTCCCAGTGTTTGGTCGTTCTCAGCGAGAGGGCGAGAAAAGGTGACACGGTGACACTCAGCACCCTCTTGAGGCATGTCTCATGTTTAGGGGACCTCCAAAGTTTGCCCCGTTGTTCATCCATAAAAAGATGTAATTCACACATCTAGTTCACATTGTTCATGGGACCTCCGTAAGAAGTAGTTGGTATTCCGAATACCACACGAGTTGAACGATGACTTGGCTCTCAACTGCCCCGTACTTTCAACTCTCGACCACCGCGCTGAGGTCTTGGACATCATCGTACCAGCCTTCCTCCACCAGCCTGCACTGTGGCCAGCCAACTGCACTGAATGTGGCTGTGGATCACTTAGGTTCACCATGTCTGGTAGCCCATTCTGATCCTTTTCGGTGGTGTCCAAACCGGTCGGTCACCCGGTGCCGAAAACGGTCGACGACTCAAGACTAAAGTGCATTCCTTTTCTGCATCGATACTAGTAACAAGAGCATTATTAGTAATAAGAAGCTACTAACAAGTGCACTTGTTCCTAGTAGCTTCTTGTTGCCATAGTAATGCCCTTGTTACTAGGTGCGATAAAGGCTGTCACCCCGACATTCCATCCGAGGTCCTTTTCATCTTTTTCTCCAACCAAAGGGGATCACTGTTCCCTCCCACCCGCAATGTCAATGTGGGATCTCTCTGTACTTTCACTCGGATCTACGCTTTCACACCATTTCCGATGATTCACTCAAACAACGGATGCATACTGATCCAACGCATCAGCCCCCGCGGAATTCCCGCTGAGGGAGTGAGGTCTAGCCTCTCACTTCTCCCACGACTCGCAGCTCCGCGCTCCGCTTGGCTCCGCTCGGCTCCGCTCGGCGCCTCTTGAACTGCGCGGCGCCTTTGGGCGCCTCAAAGGGACTAGAATCAAGATGAATCAAGTACAGTATAGATGTGTTAATGCTCCTTAGCGGTCTGTTTCAAAAACGCCTACCTCACCCTCTCAGCGACTTTCCTTCCTTGATGCCTCCTCACACCACTCAGATCCCCTCAGCCACTGGCCCACTCGGGATGCACCCGGATCTTGATGCTCGCCTGCATGGATCTTGAGCCACTCGAGTATCCGGTCTGCTGAGTCAAGTGATCGAACGGTGTCCGATCTTAACGCACGGCAGCTTTAACATATATAAACAAACATACACACACACAAGAAGGACATCTTGAAAACACAGTGGTGGTGCTTTTGTTTAAGAAATATGTTCCCAAGAAATCCAACCCTTTCTGGCCCTGGGGGGGTCGTCGATTTGGCTGGTGGTCACGCCCAAGTGGTGACCTCGAATTCACCGTCGAATTCACCCTTCGGAACTCACTCGTGGACGTTCGACCGACTCCTCCGCCTGGGAAGGCGCATCGCCGCCCAGATTGATGTCGAAGACCTGGTGTCAGGTCGATGGGTCGACCGACTTAGCCATGGGTGAGAACGACTAGCAACTGGAGTCTGAGGGCAACCAAAAATCCGGAGGAACATCATGCAAACGGATGGAGGAGCAGGCCCTAACGGTAAAATGAGTGCTAGAAATATTGGCCTCCAGTTCCTAACACGCGGGCTCCATCAGTCCATGTGGCTCCGAGGGCCGCCTCTACCACCGAGCCACTCTATCAGATCAGTCACAGCTGTGCTGGTGGGATCATGGGTGGGATCCGATGCGGACTCTGAGGGACGAGTGCGTGTGTGTGTGCCCAATGAAACAAGGACCCAAAGCACAGCAGCTGTCGCAAGTCTTCTTGCAAGTAACTTTTTGCAGCAGGTGTCCGTCTGGATTGCAATGGGTACATGTGAATGCATACAAATACCATCAAATACCCATACATTTTAGCCATACATCATCGTCAAAAAAAAGTCTTCGGATAACTCGGGATCCCGCCACGTCGAACTGCTCTCCCTCGGCCTGGTTCTTCCAAAACTCCGATGTCACTGGGAACAATCGAAATGCTAGACATGCGATTACTGGTAAAGTGATTCTACCCAGCTGGACTGTCACTTAGCTTAAAGAGATCCTATATTACAATATGATCATATCGAATTCAGAGTTCCTACGAGTTCTTCACTTCCAGCCACTCAAGAAACTGAAACTTCAAGTTGTTGCGACGTCATTGTCGCTTTCGTTTCATCTTTTTGCTGGGTCTCAGCAGTGGGAAATGTGCACGAAAGTCGCATGTTGGTGGTGTCCGTTGAAGCTATGGTCAGGCCTGAGCATCCTGGGACCTGAGACAACGTCACAGAATGAGAGATTCAAGGGAACCTGGAGAAACCAACATCACAAGCAAGCCTGTCAACTCCCAACCTCACTCAGGATCTGTTCAAAAAGACTTGCTCTGACCACTTGGCTGTAGCATTTGATGGCAGGTTTCACATCGAATTCAAATCGGTGCAACCCCATGAAAGTCCGAAGGATGGGCCAAACCCATACATACTTTGGGTAGATATATTCTATTACCAGTGGTTTCAGTGAATTGATGATGGTTAAGTTGCAGGCCGTCACGTTCTTGTTTGCCGACGGGTATAGAACAGGACAAACCCAACCCCACTGGGCTCCAGCACGCCAGGCCCAACACGCTGCTCGCCGTGCTGGTGGCCATCAGCCGTCGCCGCGACTGGGCCGGAAAGGAACGGAAAAAGGAAGACATGAAAACATATGAGATAGGGTGAAGTATGGTAAATCACAATGAAGTGTGCAATCCCAAACATGTCAAAAAGCAATTGGAAAACGCATCTGGAAAACCTCTTACACCACCATGTTACAGGTGGAGCTACCCACGCCTCCATCTCGTTCGTGGCTTGCCTCGGCCCGGCCGCGTGTGGGCGCAGTTCGCGGCGGTTGGCCAAACGCTGTCGGGCGGGGGGTGGAAGATGCTGAGAGCCTCACATGGTGGATGGAGTCGGCAGGAAGGTCGAGTAGTACCTGGGGCAGGGCACGAAACCGGGGCATGGACAAATGGTGCCGGCATCCAACTCTGTACTCACTCGTTGGGCCAAATCTGCCCACTGAGTTGCATCGTCCTTGTTCGTGTTCTCAGACACACCACACAGCCAGTGAATGGACGCGCTCGAGTCTTGGACAAAAAGTCAACAAACGAGTGAAACACCCAGCCATTGCAGGACCAAACGAAGAGACGGTTACACGCAAAGACCCAAGAGTATGTTATAGCTTTGATGTCTTTTGCACGGATCCCCATCAGTGCTGGGCCTGGGTCCTGCCATTTGTTTCGCACAACGAGGTCCAATCGTTTCGGAGACACTGCACCTGGTGGTCACCAAGCAGACCTGGGCGAAGCCCGGCGGGCTCGGAGGTGGTGAGCGAAAGCGAGCCAAAAGGTGTTTGCCTTCGGTGGCCTTTGCGGGTCTCCAACATGTCCAGAAAACGCCCTGATAGATTCGTTTGGACACCAACCACCATGCCATCAATCGCCCTGAAAACCATCCGCCACTCGAATTCTGTCTGACCAGAGAAGAACTGGCGAATTCCTCCGGGATCCGCAGATGGGCCCCTCGCCATGAGCAGCGCGCCAATGGCCGCATACGTCTGCCGTTGGGCTGACCTGGAGTTCGACGGACCGGTGGGCAAGACGAGCCGTGGGCCTTCTTGAGCCGTTGCCGTTAGGTGTGAACACTGCACTGCTCTGTATATATATATATATAGTTATATATTCGTAGCTATATTTATACAGGGATATACTTACAGGGGTTTCAGAGTGATGGCACTGGCACCCCTACATGTCTTCTAGATGGGGGTCCATGTAAACCACCTTTTGGGGATTGTGCCATCTACTCTGAACCCACTCGATGTCTAATTCTGTGATGTCAAGCTTACACCGCACTGTTCTGTATTGTTGCATTTTTTCAAGTAAAGCGCGGAGAAAAAGGGTACTACGGTGCATATCGCCAGTGGATGATGGCCCCATCGCCCGTGGGTGATGGGTCTTTCTTGCCGGTCGGGTTTGACACGTGATTGTTACACATCTGCATAAGGTTCAATGCTTCTCGGAAGGACATTAAGACGATGCGATGGCTGCGACAAAAATCAAGTCATGCGATGGCTGAGCAGACTGCGTGACCTGCGTTTGGATTCTCTCTTGTAGAAGCAAGAGGGTCAAACTAGTCCCCCCATAGACCAGGATGAACCCCAACCAACAAGGACTAACATGCAAAAGACAGCTGGACATTCAGCTAGCGATCTACCCTGATTGCTTGAAAGTCTACCCTGTAGCCCTTTAGCGCTACATCTACAAATTGGGGGGTCGGCACTTGGGAACACCACAAGACACAGACACGGCTCTTTCTGATATCCGAAACCAAACGTATATCAAGGCAGGAAAAAAAAAAACAGGTCAACAGGAGCACTAGTGGCAGATGGTGGCAGCAAGGGAGAAATATGAAATCTTAAAGGCTCCCTCCTAAACAATTCTCTCCCCTTCCCTCCGCACGTCAGTCAGGCCAGGAGCATGATACACTTCATGAAGTCGCTCGCTCTGACCGCAGAAAGTCCGGCGGGCTACGTCGGTGGAAAACCGTGGACTGAGCCAGACTGGACTGAGCCGGCAGAAGCAAGGCCATCTACTCGTGTGTCGTGCCCTTCAAATCATTTCTGTCGAGCATCGAGGGACTCCCCAACCAACGCCGCCATAGCCTATGGAGAGCTATGGCAGGGTTAAATCAGCAGTTTGAGTTTGAGCACTTGATCTAAAATTATCTTGCATTAAAATGCCTTTAAGGGATATTCTAAAGCACTCCATTCTTCCAAGTTATATAAATAGCTTTCTAACGCTTTCTACATCTTTCTACCTTCTGTTCATAAACCTTCACCCTCCAAAGAAAGGCCCAGCGGAAGCCACCTGGGCGCCGGTCGCGGTCCTTTTTGGTCTCAACCACACGTGGAGACTCTGTACACTCCACCGGTGAGAAACACTGCACTCCCCACGCCGCACCGGCGAGACCGGCCATTCCTCACCCGCGGCTCAAAGGCCGAAGGAACGAGGGAGTTGGCCTCAAAAGAGGAGGGCCCATTGAGCCAACGTTCACAGCTTCAGCCACCCCACCAAGCTCCATCGGCCGATGAGGTTGGTGGGTCCGTGGCGACTCCAATTCGGTCAGGGCCTTAAATCGGCAGGGAGATGGTCAGCCGTTGCACCAGGGAGTGTGGTGGGTTTGGGTGGGTTTCATGGATCATCCTTCACAATGTAACTGGTTTGTGTTTTAATACATGCACATGTTACATGTTCTTGAATGTATGAATCAGTTTCATATTACACGGCCCATCAACAGGTAGATTCTTTCTAAATATACCTCGGCAGGGGCCTGATCCCGCTGCTCCATTGGACGGCGGTTCCGGGCTCTTTGTCACTGGAGCGACGCATCCAACGCAGTTGGAGCGACGCCTGAGTCACTGAGCTCAGCCCCCCCGACACTCCACGCGAAATGCCAACCTCTGGCTTGTGACAGGCCCTGGCCACGGCCTCAAGCTTTGCGAGGCGGAAGCTCGGGGGGGGGGGCGAAAAGCAGCAAGTGTCATGGTGATTACATAGGGTTGGTGGAAGTGCTGGGTTTCATTACATAAGGTGGAAATTATGGTTATGGTTAAAGTGATGGTGAGGGTTGTGTAGTTCCTGCACTCATGTCCTTATCCCGAACCTTCGGCCAGTGCTGCGTTTGGCTGCATCTGTTCCGGGAGGCGAAAGACCCCGCAGCTTGACTGTAGAGGCACAAACCCTCTCTGGTCTTGAACCTCCAAGAAGAACAGCTGGACTCACCAAACGACCTGTGCCGGCTTAGAACTGGAGGCACGGAGTGTCCTTGGCCACTTGAGTGTCCTTGGCCACTTGGCTGGGCCGCCCCGGCGGACACCACCAGGGCTGCAAAGCAGCTGGGCACGCTCACCCAAACCCTCAGGCAGCAGAGTGTTTGGAGAGTTCCAAGCGATGGAGAAGAACCTGTGTGGTCGTGAAAAACGTTCCTCAATCTGGTCAAGGACCAGGTTTTAGTGAGTCTTTGGACCTGTAGGGAGAGATGCTAAAGAAGAGTCACAGCAGGGCAGTGCCCCAAGATCAGGTCAAGCAAGAACCCTGGCGGTTCTCATGCATTTGGGTGACCATGCTGGGACAAAAAGGAGGAGCTCCTGCGGATGTACGGATGTATATCCATGTTCGCTACTAGGAGCAAAGGGCATCGCTACTAGGAGCAAGGGCCTTACTACTAGGAACAAGAAGCTAGTAGAAACAATAAGTAAATAATGATCCTTTTGAACGCCATTCTCAATGACCTTCGGCCTTCGGATGGTGGCCGACTGGACGAAATGGACCACAGGGCTTCCCGGCGGCCAAACGTAGCCGCAGTGCAAGGTGTTGCAACGGGTTCCCGGCGGCCAGTAGTAGCCGCAGTGAAAGGCGCAACTGGTGAAGAAGTACCTGGGGTCCACAGGTACAATCGTCCAGGACATGGGACATGGTCCTTCCTGAGCACAAACTGATCCCCCCTGTGCATGGTCGATGTTTGTATGAGGATCGCAGAATAATAAGGAATGTTGTGCTTGTGAGTTGAAAGCTTATGACTCAATGACAGTGAACAGCGAACATGACATGAATGAATAACAGAATAACATGAATGAAGCAAACATGTAAAACACACCTTTACAGCGACAGTGGACTTCAGTCGACAGAAAACTGAGACCCACACACGACCCAAACACTAACGTTCACAAGGACCTTGGTGGCCACGTTCACAAGAACACTTACGATGCAAGTGCAGCAGGGCAAGATTGCAGTGAGACTTGAAAGCAAGTCTTTGAAGGTTATATAGCCTACTACTTAGCTTACTATATGGCTTCTACATTATATATATATATGTTAACATGGCTGAATATGCTACTCAAAAAAAGTGTCACGGCTTGGATACAGTGAGCTGAATCAGGTTTGTGGTCTGCACAGTCCTGTTTTGTCCAAGGTCCAAGTGGTGGGTTGTTGGAATCCTAAAAGAACGACTCGCAAAGGTGGTACCAGGGGTCTTCAAAACACTAGACCACTGGGCACCAGGCGATGTTGCCGAGGACGGTCTGTAGCCACCTGAACAAAGACGCAAAAGATCGCCAAGGAACGACGACATGTTGATTCCCGTCCCCGATTCAATCTTCATCCTCAGGTCGATTTCGTTGAAAACATCGACCAACCTGCCAAAAGCACCGACCACCACATCCACCGAGCTCCCCGAGTGAAACGAGCGCTCACGGCCGCGCGGTTCACGGCGGCGCGGTCAGCGGCGGGCCTCGGACATCTGGCAGGACCTGGCTGGGGATCCACCCAGGCCGCGTTCGGACGGCATGAAGATCGAGAATGGACAATGGATGGAAAAAACATCTGTTCCAAAAGGATGAGAGATCTGGATGAGAGATCTAGGTGTATATTATGCGAAAAAAAATAAAGGAGATCGATGGATCTCTCTGCATGAGCACTGTGCGTGATGTCCAATTCTTTTTTGACGGTTTTGCCGATGCTTTTTCGTGTGTTTTGGATGTTGACCCGGCCCCGGATCATCAACAGTCTCGTTCGCCGAGGCACTGGAGCTCCCCCGGTCATCGGTGGTTCACCCGAATCACGCTTCGGACCGAAGGACGCCACTCCAACCAACCCGGCCCCCAAGAGCCACGACCCGGACCAATGGCTCATGGCATCGGGGGACATCGGTGTTTCCCGCAGAGTCTATGAACAGAAGGAGGACCAGGCCTCCACCTACCAGGGTGAGTTCCGGGTTCGGGGGTTTGACCCAGCAGCCAAAAATGAGACCAAGCAGTATAGCCATCAACATTGCCACAACCATGGAAGGCCTGGCAAACCATGGAGGAAGACCTATAACATCCATGAATTGGGTCTATCCTAATACCTGTAAGAGTGGATGATGATGGTTAGTAAAGGCCTTGTTCAAAAATAGTACTATATAATTGTTTACTGACTGTTACAGGTAAGAACGGACAGACCCTATCTATGACCATGACATAGGTGCCAGGCCATCTGACACCAGTGATGCTTGCAGGTTCCTTGCAGGTTCCTGCTCCCTCCGAAGACCCGAAGAATCCAACCAGAATCCAACCGAGACCATTAGACCAGTATACTGACCAGTACCAGGGGCCCCCGGGCTGTCTCGGTGTCTCATTATAGTTCCTTAGAGGTGAAGGGGTATCCGTTCACCACTCCGGGCCAGGGGGGCCCTGTATACCTTTAAATCTCGTTAAACGCCTTTAATAAATGTCACTTTGAACTCCAGATTAAACCACACCCTCTGTTGACCCACTTGAACCCCAAAGGACACCACCTCGCCGCCAAACACAAAACATGGGACACCAACACCTCTCTCTCGGTCTCCGCACCACGAGGCGTGGCACTCTGCGTCCAGGGCAGGACGTTCACCGCGTGACCCGCCACCGAGAGCAAGGTGCCAAAGGTCACCTCGGTTCGGAGCCGCGGAGCCGGGGAAGAGCGCGCGCGCGCGGACGCATCGTCCTCGCGAAGGCGAGCCATCGTCCTTGCGAAGGCGACCCATCGGGAGTAGCAAGAATATGCAAGAATGCTCTGCTGTTCAATCATTTCATGTGATTTCTCTCTGATGTCAAACTAGAGGCATTAATCAAGGGCTTGGTTACAAGTCAGCTTTGATTAGGGGACTGGTCACCTGACTGGTCGTTAGGGGACTGGCTAGTGCCTAGCGGCTAGATGCGGCTAGTGTCGACCCAATGCCCCCCAACTGAGTCCACGGAGCCAAATGATTGATGCCCCGTCTATAGAGGATGGTCATACCATATCGTTGAGGTATTTCACAGCTCCCACCAAGTAGACTTTCAGGGCTGTGCGGCTATAGCTTCTATAGCTGCTACAGTCTGTGCTCCAAAAACTCTTGCCACACTTGGCTAGGCTATGCCTGCCTAGTCTTCCAAATCCATTGCCATCAACCATCTCTGGCCTTCCACACTCATACTCACCAAGGTTCCTCAACAGCTTCAACAGCTGTTCAGCCAGCCCTCCAGGTCCAAGGCCCCCCGACCCACATGGGCCAGGGATAACTGCTGTTCCAGACCAAGAAGTAAATGGTCCACACAATCCTCAGTCCGCAACGCCAAACATGCTCCTATCCAGTTGAAGTACCGTATATGGCTACGTTCGCTCTTCCAGCTGAACCAAATCCTTCACAGAATCCACGAACCTCCGGACCGATCCGTCGAAACAGGCCGATCGGGGCGACCGGAGCGTTCGCTCCAAGTGCGCGGCACGTTGGCCACCGCGATGGATGTGAGATGGGCGCACAAGGCCTTGGCCACGCCTGAAGAAGGCCCGGCCCGGCGCACACGAAGCTGCTGGGTAATTGCAAACGCTCCATGGTCCAACAGTGAAGGTATGTGAAAGGTGGGTCTTGGAAGATCTTGGAAGAGGACTCTCACAGACTGATGCTACATGATGTTCGCAGTGCCCAAAGCTCGATTGCAGATTGATCGACACTCTCTGTTCATGGCATGAATCGAGTGCCACTGTGCTGCAGAGCTTCTCGATCGACAGCCGAACCCACCGAAAGAAATGTTAAGAACTTGCGAGTCGTTCTCCAAGTGTAGGGGAGCCTACCACATACCCGCACTCCAGAGTGTCTGAGAAAAGCTTAGCTCCTGGCAACTTCTGTGCGATGACACCTGACCCACCACACATGGCTGCAAGAATGGAAAATGCTGAGCGATCGTGTTCCCTCTGTTTTTTCTACTCTGGTGTACTGACATGGCTGACTTTGTTGGGACTAAGGGGTTCCTGTGCCCAACAAAGATATAGGTGACAAGACCACATTCCTCTATAATAAAGAGGTGGGTGAAGAAAGAAAAACTGCTTGGCCTCGTCAGAAAGAACACATCCCCACTGGGCTGTTTTGGAGCTCTGTTCATCTCTGTTCCCCATTTTAGGAGGGCACGTTCGAAAAAGAACCACTTGCGAGGGCCGGGGGGACCTCCCTCCGACTGGGGCGCCCCGGCCGCCCGGCCGATGGGGATGAGGGGAGCATGTGGAGTGGCCTGGGGCCTCAGTGGCTGGGGAGGCTGGGGAGGTGTTTGGCTAAGAATGGACTGCAAGGGGCTCGACGGGAGACTGGAAAGGCTGGGGGAGGAAGAAAATGGACCCAGACCAGAGAGCGTCAATGAGCACCAAACATTGGTTGTTCTGGCCAGGGGATCTTGAGCAATGTCCATCTTTCCCTTTTTTGGTTCCAGGGGTGTGTTGGGTGAGTGGCGGTGGTTCGATAAAGCCTCATGGCACTCTGTAGCCTCCGCGTGTTCATGGGAAAGCTCTTACAGTAGGTGGAGTGTATGCCAAATTGGCATTTGATGGAATTGGTTCGTACTCCAAAGGGAACTCTGAAGGCCGGCTGGTCAAGAGGGAACCTCTATCAACACAAGTGTTTTTGGATGCTTTTGGGGTTCTTGAAGTGAACCTTCAGAGGTGTGACAGGCCGATGCAAAAGCGGCTTGAGTCGCAGTAACCAAAGGGCTCCATATTTTCGGTTCCTGGAAACACCCAACCCGTAACCCCAACCCGTAACCAGTGTTCTATCCGTTATGCAGTCCGGAGAGTCGGCTGGTTACTTCACCAAACCCATCCAACCCCAGTACCCAAAGACTGCCCGCCCAAAGTCAAGTACCCCAAGTGTCAAACAGCCATGAGGACCCCAACCATGAGAAGGACTTGGTGCATCAGACGTTCTCCCGTTCGCATGCCGAGCCATCACAGACTGAGCCAACCGGGCAAGTTTGGCTGCTCGGGAGGGGGCGCCTGAGGAGGTTGACATGGGAGGTGAACAGTCGGTGCCGCAGTCGGTCGCAGGAAGGTTTTCTCTCTAAAATCAAGGACCCACCCCCCAGTCAGGGGGGCCAAAAAAAACATTTGATAGGAGGGGTTGACAACTGTAATTTCATAGAGGATATTGACATGGAGGTCTTCCAAAAAACCCTGTCTGCACTGCAGCCTTCTGTGTTAGCTTGGGGGAGGACGCCGGTATGCCTGGTATGCCTTGTTGGAGGGACACACACACACAGACTTGAGATGAGTGCTCCGTGGAGCTTGGCTTCAGGCTATTCGCGGTGGGCATTAGCACTTTGGTGTTGCTGCAGTTTAGACCTTGACTAAAAGAAACTGCGGAGTCGGTCGAACAGAATGTTTGAACAGTGCATCAAACGGTTATTGAAAAAACTGGTGCAGGTACAGGAATGTGCGTCCACATTCCCTTCCGGCTGAATCCCATAGCTTCGTTGGCATGGCTAGGGAAACAGCTGCCATGCCCCCTGCTGCTGCTGTACAAGGTGCAACTCAGCGAAATAGAGTAGAGTAGGTTGGTGCCCCTTGGAACGGGGGTTGACACACTTATGGATATGCGTACTGACTTGACAGCGGTGCCACACGCCAGCCTAAGTGAAAAACCTAAGGGTCCAGGTAGGAAGTTAGTCATAGGCCTCCAAACCCTAAAAGAGCACGAAAACGAGCGGCGGCGACAGGGTGACGACGGATCGCGCAAGTCAACGGAGCTCAAAAGGTCCCAACCCTCCAAGATGAGTCGCCGCTGCATTAGCCGCGTACTGCACAACAAAGAATGAGACAGCTTTCGCCATACTTAGGTTCTCAACAGCAGGTACACCAGGTTGATCAGACCTGGCTTCCCAGATGCAGGGGAGGCGTGAAACTAAGGTGAGGGCCAATGTGCACGTGTGCGCGCACAAGAGACAAAAGAGTGAAGACATGACAAGAGGACGAGACGGGACAAAGGTGCGTGTGGTGGAAATGAAAGGGGAACCAAGTGCACAGGGACACCCGATGAAGCCCACCTCATTGTAAAGACCTGGGCGGCCTGAAACCTGTGTTTAAAGGTATGTAGAAGTGCACGTGCACACTAAGGCCGGGACCAATGTGCGCGCAAACGAAGAAAAGGATGAGATGACCAGACATGAAGACAGGAGGACATGAAAGAAAAGAGGAAGCAAAAGTATGTGAAGGGGAAGGGATGAAAGGGGGAACCAAATGGAGGGGACCGAAACCGATGATGCCAAACCTCATTACAACGACCTAGGAAAACCTGCCTCGTTTGAATGTACACGCTGTGTGTGCACCCAAGGTCTCGACAGGTTCCAATAAACCTTGAACAAACTTCGGCCGCTGCGGCCACGTACGCCATGCCAATATGGCTGGCTGCTTTGACCGCTGCGGTCACGTAAGGGCATAAGCCAACTTGGAATTCCGAAAATGAGGCAAATTTGAATTCTCTCGGCCTAGGCCACCTCCGCCCGCTGTGGGCGCGTACGTTTCCAAAGCAAGGGAAACATTGACAGACACCCGTTCGAGGGGCCCACGGGAGGCACTCTACGGGCTCATCCCGGACGGCTATAGGCCGGAACATATCTGACTGGGTCTTCACCCCTTCGTTAGCAGAAGAGTGACCACCAGCCCCATTGCGACTGGTAGCTGGCGGCTGTGCTCTGCGAGTACCTCGAAAGTAACAGTGAGAATCCTTCTTGGTCGAATTCGTGCCGTCCTTGCACTTGAGCGAACCTAAAGCTCTTTCCCGTGGGGTGCCTTCTGGCAGCAGCCCTCGGTCCACCCAGCAATGGCACGTTGGGTTCTGGCACGACTCTTTTACCTTTCTTGGGGAGGCTGAATCTCACTTTCTTTCGGGTTCCGCCGACTTTGGTGGCCTCCAAATAGACCTTTGCCGATCCTCCTGGGAGCCTTCTGATGGCCAAAGCCACGGCTAGTATACTGTCAAAAATCATTCCCGAAGCCTGATCGAGACCCCACTCGGCTTCAAGGGCGTCTCCAGGACTCCTCTTCAGTCTCCCCTCGGCAGTCTGGTGCGCAATGGCGTGATTGCGGTCACGCTCCGCGTCGTCTTTGGTATGCCCTTGTCCCTCACGCTTCCGCTGCTTCTTGATCTTCTTACGGCTGGCGGTGTCTGGCGCCCGCTTGTTCCAATTGCCCTCTCGTCGAGCCTCATTCTTGAGGTCTGCTCTGAAGGCTCGAAGGTCTTTTTGGGCTGCATCATGAAGCGCTTTGTCCAACACCTTGCCGGCTTCTGCAGGGTCAACGTCCAACAAGGGCCCTGTTCCTGGTCCCTTTTCGGCTCGACTCCAGGTGTTGACCTCCTGTCGGTGCTGAGCTGCTCTTTCTCGTGCCCTTTGGGCTCTTCTGGCAACCCAGACGGATCTCCCCGCCTCAATCTCTTGTTTCAGTCGGTGATCAGAAACAAGCGGAACCCCAGTCCTTGGACCGACGGGGTTCGCGAGCTCAAGTCGTAACATCTGATCATTGAGGCCTGCCCGGTAGTCGGTTTCTGCTTCAGTGTAATGCTTGCGTGACCCTTTGGGCTCGCTCTTCGGCTTTGGCTTCGGCCGTCTTGCTCTTGAGCCTTGCCTCGGCCAACTGGTTGAGACGCTCCACGAACTCCGACTTGACCTGGGAAGCGGCTGGGGCTTGCTGGATGGCTTCTTGCTTTGAGAAGATGCAGGTGCACATCCCCGAACTTGACCTTTCGCCTTCGAGGCCTGGGTAAGTCTTCTTCGGTGATCATTTCTTGATCCTTAGGTGGAAGGGATTCGATTCCCTTGGCATCTCCAGGGGGCGGTGGCGCGTTGGGTACACCCTCTGCTGCTGGTGCTCCTCCTGGGGTCTCTGTTGCACTGGGGACGTCGACACTCTCTTCAACCTTCATGGGTATCACTTCTTCGCTCTTTGGAAGAGCTGCGGTCGTTTCGGCTTTGGGCTGAGCCAACTCAGCCGTTCCTGCGTCGGGGTCTTCGGTCAGCCCTTCAGCCTTCTCTGGGTTAGGTTCTACAAGTTCTGTAGACGCTCCAGCTGGGATGGCCTGGGCGCTCGCTGCGAGCTGCTCTGTATCCGGGCAATGGATACGTTCGACGTACACCCGTTCAACGGGTCCACGGGAGGCACTCTGCGGGCTCATCCCGGGTTGGCACGAGGCCAAACACACTTGAGATATTGTGTACGGAACTGAATGCGGTGCCACTCGCCAGCCTAAGAGACCCAAATCCTGAAAAACCAGGTGAGGAAACCTAGAAAGGAAATAGAGGACCTAGAAGGAAGTAGAGTACCATCAGCTCACTCGCCAGCCTAAGAGACCCAAATCCTGAAAAACCAGGTGAGGAAACCTAGAAATGAAAAAGAGGGCCTAGAGGGAAGTAGAGTTCCATCAGCTCCAAAAGAAAAGCGCCGAGCGAGCGATCGACCAAGTGACGACGTGCGTGCAGAAAACCAAGCTCACAGTCTGAGGTGAAGCACCGCTGCATTAGACGCTTACTGCTAAACACAGCATTGGAACAGCTTGTCCATTACTTAGGTTCATTTCAAAGCAGGTACGTAGCTCCAGCGTCCCGGAGCTATATCACAGATGCAGCACTGGCGTCTTCGTTGGTGCCAGTCCAGTGTGCATCCCTGGCACCCCCTGCTGTAAAATAAACAAATGCAAAAGCATCCCTATGACTCCAAGGGTGACACACACACACACACACATCCGCCACTACAGTCGCTGGGTGCCAGTTGGCATCTTCCTGCTGGGGTCCGTACACTAGCGGCTGCCTCCTCATAGCCATAGAGGGCTTGCTGTGACGCGGGCTGAGACATGGCGAAGAAAAAACACCTTCGAGATGGGGCAAAGAAGATGTTCACTGATTTACTTTCTTCAGTTGACAGATTCCAAGTGAGTTGATCCATCCATTTCACTGGAAAGAGAGGGGTTGACCTCTCTTCAGTTGACAAATTCGCATGAAAGTGCCTTGACTTGTTGAGAGTTGGCATGTTGATGGTATTGAAATCCAAGAGTAACGGTGCCAACTTCCGGCACTCAACGCGATGGTTTGAATCTCTTGCATCAACGGAGTTGCCAGCTCTCTATGCGCCAGGCTCTGGGTGAGTTGCCAGGCTCTGATGAGCACTCAGCAAATGTCATGATTCAATGATTTTCAATGGCACCGGTTCAGGTTGCCCTTTGTGTCTCACTCCGTTTCAGCTCACTCAAAGACCAAGGAATTATGTTGTTGGTGAAGATGGCAACTTGAAGGATCTTTGACACCTGACCTTTCGATGTCCTCCGTCTAACTTTCATTGGCCGACACTTATCACAAGGGGCTGTTCTTCCATCACCGTCAAGCACCCACCCTGCCTATGATACTATATAGCTTGTCCTAGTGAAGGAAATGTTAAATAATCATCCTCTTGCAAAAGGCATCACTAGCATCATGGATCTTGTGTTTGCAACCAACATAGGCAACAAATATCACAGAAAACGTGTTGTTTTCTTCAAAAAACCTACTTGATTGTACCCTTGTCATCTTTGACAATGGTTTTGCACAAACTCTCCAAACAGATCTACCAGCCCAACAAAGACACCGGAGGCAGTGCATGATTTTTCTCAGGTCTTTTTTCGCCAGAGCTCTTGCAAGCGCCAATCGCAGATCCAGATCGACGCGAAGCCGGCCTGTTTGCCATGCCGAGCAAAGAGCATTCGTGAAAGCAGCCAGGGCCATCCAGTGTTGCTCGCCGGAAGGGGAAGAATGTGAGTTTAGTTGATGCGTGAATGAGCTTTCATGAGTTTTGATCTGTGACTGCAGTTGTCATGTCTTTCGTTGTATCTTCCTCCTGTTTCCAAACGTCTCTCCTCTGTGTCTGTCTTAAGGCTGCGACCCTCAACAGCAAGAGCAACGTTTCCAAGCACCTCAGCCGTGACGCCCAGCGTTCGCAGGCTGCAGCGTTTAACCACGCCCTCACTCCGCACGCCCGCGCTGGGGAAACCGGAGGGGAAGCGCAGGGAGACGAAGACCCAGGAAGCACGGCAGTTGGCCCGTGCTGAGCGACGTTCCAAGCGATGAACCGGTTGAATTCGACGATTTGGGTCCTGGGCACCCAGTCCAACGGAGCTCTTTTGAGCTTGCACACGACCTTGAACCCAAAAACACGACGACCTTTTATGCAAACAAGCAGGGACCATGGACCTCCGAGAAAGAGTGCTTGAGTACTAGATATAAACCCACAAATAGATAGAACACCTTTTGATCCCCGAAAGAATGTGTTGGACACTTTCTCTATCTATTTGGGGACCACTACTTACTTCTATCGCGGTCGGAGCTCATCAGCCCAGCATCCACCACGCTGAGGTCTCCACCCTCCAATCACCGCAGCAAAGGGCGACAAACACCTGTGTTTCAGAAAACGGAGGTTGGCACCAAACCCCAGTGCCCAGGCAAGGTTGAGGTTGAGTGGCAACAGGCGGCTTGGAGACAGGGCCTTGCAAAGGGCCTTCTTCTACCCAAACGGTTCTCTCCCTGGGATCGTATTTTTGGATGGTTATATATATATATATAGGTATGATGATAATTGGACGTTTGATTAATAAAGCCCCGCATGTGAAGATGGAACTTGGTCCGGCATGATCTTTGGTGGGACATGCCTTCATATTCGTGTGGGAAGCAACATAGCTTTTTACACAACCCACCCACCGACCAGCTATCTGACCTCCAAATGGGCCTTCCAACCCCACACCTGTCGAGGGCCGTCAGGAGCATGCCAGCCATGAGGGCCAGGAGCAGTCTGACCTTCGGGCGAAACCGCCGTGCCACGGGCGTGTCTGGCCTCCCTTTTCCTCGACACCTGTCTGGCAGGCAGCAGAGTGGTAGTAAAGAGTCCCAAAACCCACTCAAATCGGTACAGCTACTGTAGGTGTCGCTGTTTCTGTAAAGAACAGAAGACCTGGACAACAATGTGAGCAAAACTATCATTCTGTCGTGGAAATTCCATCTTGAAACGCAAAACAATACGAATGGAACCCACACAACCTCGTGCTTCTTTGTTCGCCGAACACAGGGACCGCCCAAGCTCACGGCTCGTCTTGGGCCAAACCACGGCGCTCCTGGAAGATGGGAACGTCGAACGGAGGAGTTCAATTTACTTAATCTAGTGTTGTATTGCTTTAAAATAGGGAGACCTCCCAAAGATCCCTGGAAGAAGGGAAGCAGATTAAAACCCATTGGTTTGGGGCCCTCTTTGTAAAAACACACATCAATACACACCCCATATCACCCCATTGCCTTTCGATTGAAGAACTCGTGCCACCGGCACCTCCACGCGAGTTACAGACCGACCCACCTCGCGGGTTGGGAGGGACCCGGTTGGTAGGGCGGTTATCCGCATCTGGGCAGTTGATTAAGGTGAGGAGTGGGCACTGAAAACGGAATCAACTAGCTGTGGACAGTTGTTCGCTTTGCAGATCGGACCAGGCTGTTTGGGATCTGACCATGTGGATATGGGCAGGCAGTTCTTCGCTTTGCGGACAGATCGGTGTTTTGTCGTCGTGCACGTCGGTGTTCGCATCAACCAGACTCTCTTCGGTTCGTGTCCGGTCAAACGGGACGTCTCCCTGGCAGGCAAGACGACTTGTGTTCACGGTTAAAACAACAACAATCACACGGCCCAAGGCTTGTAAAACAGCTATTGCTTTGGTTGGAGAGTTGCTTGGTCTAGCGGCTAGCTTTCGTGAACGAAGCATTTCCCGGTTCATTCCTTCCGGGCCCTCCCAGCCACCCAATCGAGATCCGTCCTGGCAGTGCTGGCAGTAAAATGATGGCTGGAAAGCACCTGCTGGGAACCTCCTTCATTGGGCCATCCTCAGCGACGATTGCGAGAAGTTGGCTGCAGCAGTGCCACGCAACGAACGCAACGCCCAGAAGGACAACCAGAACCAACCAGGAGGGGGAGTTGGCTCTGAAGCTGCTCCTACGTAGAGCATAAGTTATTGGTCAAGCCGGACATTTTCCAGCGAAATCCGAAACTGTCTCACCATGTCCTCGAAGAACAACACCAAAGCTGCTGATGACTCACATGGCAATCTGTCTTTTCAATGCTAAATTCATGAAGTTTGCCTTGAAAAGACAGCACCGCTTCGAACTAGAACAAACCGCATCAAACCACAGTAAGCTGAAGCATCGGTTCTCCGCATGCCGCCACAGGCGCTCCAGAGATGCCGCGGAGCTTCACGCCCGCCGCGCTGCGTTGCAGCAGCCGCTCGGCTCCGAGCACCTGATGTTGGTGGGTGGAGGGGAGGGGAGAGGGATGGAATGGATGGAAATGGAGACAAAACTGATTCAAGATGAACTTCCAGTGCTCTTGGAAGAGTCTTCCAACAGGTCTTTGGGAGAAGAAAAAGCATTGAATGCACTTACAGTTCCGCTTGTACTTTCAATGAACCCGTGCGCCCACTCACACTTTTCTGAGGAGTCAGCGGGGCAGGAGCCCAGTAGAAGCCACCCCTGGGCGATGATGAGAGGCCCAAGGATCTGATTCTCTCCTGTGGGTATCAAATCACCTTAATGATCATCTCATTAGGTACCATCCGGTTTGCACCTATTACATTAGGTACCATTAGGTGTGGGTACCATCCGAAAAGTGGATGATCCTCCTGGTTTGTCTGAGGATCATCAGTATTTTCACCACCTCCTTAGGCCATCCGGCCACTGATCCACTTGCAAAGGGACTCGCCTGGTGCAAAATGATACACCTGGTCATCCTGCCCACCCTGCCCTCCTCCATCTCCCCCCTACCCTGGGCCAACCCAGCTGATCCGGACATCCACTTTGGGAGCTGCAAGCTCACGCTGAACTTGGCTTGGACAAAGGCGGACCGCGACGAACGCTGGATGAAAGGCTGGGCAAGGGTTCCAATGGGCAGAGTCTGAAGGGAACGAAGGATATCTGATGTGGGCACAAGTCTTCCAACAACCAACGTCCTCTGAATAACGTGCCTGCAACTATAAAGTCACCTCGATTTCAATACTCGTCGAAATATCTTAAGGGAGTGAAACTGTGTCTTGGCTGCCGGCATGTGCAAGTGCCCAAACGAGGCTACCTGGCACCAGTGTCATTGGCCCACCACGCTTGAAAGTTGCACAGATCTCCCTCTAGCGGGTCGGATTGTCTGGTTCTCTCTCAATCTAGCCGGTTCTGCACTGAAGCAAGCAGCATAGTGTCCAGATGACGATGGACTTGACCTCGTGTTCTTTGGGTCTAGATTGAGGTAGAGGGGACTCATCATAGGCTGCCAAGGAATTGATCGTCCCACCCCACTAAAGCGCACTCATCTTCCGTTTCTCATGTCTTTTCTCCAAAAAGCAACCGAAAAAAAGAAATAAAGACTCCAACCTGGGAAACAACAACGTCTTCACGGAAGACCATCCATCACCGTCCGCAACTGATCGGATGTCATGTTGGCACCCTTGCACACTTATATAAGTAGTGGATGGAGTGGAAGTCCCCCGTCCCTGGTACCCATTCATTCGACAGCGCCGGTTCCTGAGCTCACTTGCCACATCCTGTAGGAAGCCATGGCGAGTTTCGCGGGCACTTTGCGCACGAACTCCTGGACCGGGCCCGTTCAACGACCGGCCGACCGAGTTCATCGAGTTCGCCGTACGAATCGCCGGTGCCCCCCATCTGCTGAGAAAAAGCAAGCCCAAAATGACTCCTACTTCCTGTGGCTAAAGATTAAAGACAACTAGAGACTAGAATCGCTGTATCATGATTCAATTGGCTTCCAGTTCAACGACCACATCGACCCGAACGAAAACACCGAACGAACGAATTTATGTGTTCACGACCTCGAATGAGGACCTTCCCAAGAGATAGAATACATTGCAGCGTCTTACACCCCATCATTGGCATCATATCTGATTACTCCTGGGTCATATAACTGGATGAATGAAGCAAACATGTTGATGCCTCCAAACCTCCTAGCAGGATATGTTGCAGCGACCTACACTCCAGGCTACTGGAAATTAATCGAATTTGCCTTATTTGCCTGCAGGACTGGAGTACTTCCAATCTTCCCTTGAACCAATCCATAGTTTGCCCGAGTCCTCTAGCATGGAGTTTGGCGTCAGCCGCCTCAGGTTCGTGGCCGCTGATGAAAGAAACCGTTTCAGCTGACACGTGTTGGCACCGAAGAAAACATCCGCCGCCAAACCTGCGGCTCTGGCTTCTGCAATGGAGTATTGAGGAGAACGGGTGAATCTACACACCTTCCGAAAGGCTTCCAATCGATCGAAACAGCAAAGACTTTGGAGCCCCGCCCCTCCGACGTGCTCTGCGCTCCCCCGGGAGCCGCACAAGTTCTGCACTTCCCAGCGTCCTCAGTACGAAGAGACATGACATGTTGGACAATGCTGGTCATGTCGCTATGTACCTGAACCTTCCAAGGGGTACAAGTAGTGTGGGGGATTCCATTGGTGACCCCTTGGAAGGTGCTGGTACCGAACCTCTTCATACACCTAGCACCCAGCGTTTCATCAATGGTCTCGACAGCTGATCCTCGCACTGATCCTCGCACTGCCATGCAAGGACCCAAGTCTTGTGGATGTCTGGGTTGACTAGGCGACTCTTCGCATCTCTTGGCATCTTTGGTCTTTTGGCAAGACTACTTTGAAGGTGAAGCACCCTGTGACCACCTGTGACCCGAACCCCCCCACCAAAGGACATGGTCGTGCATTACGGTAAAAGCCATAAAATCTGACCACCAGGCCCTGAAAATGAAGAACCCTGTGATGCCGAACCCCCCAAAAGACACTATGAGAGCGAACATTGAGGTGAACACCATGAAAATTCACAAAATACTCAGTGGGTAGGCGGCGTAGGCACAACTAATGACCCACTCATGCTTCTTGACCCTCGGGTCTGCCTTTAGCTCTTCCATCTCCAGCCAGGTGGCACACCAAGACACCCCGTCGGTGAAAAAGGTCACGTCCGATGAGACAGCGATGAAACAACATTGGGTGGCTGAAAAAAAAAACAAAAAACATGGAATTCCAACAACGCATTCCAAACAGACATTCCACCCTTTTCCGAAATCCAAACCATCAAGAAGTGGTTTTGCTCCTCCCAGCTTCCCCCTCAGCTCCCCAGCTCTGGCGAGCGAAATTGAGCCGTGCGGGCCACCTGACGAACCACTCGGCATCGGAGTCTTGGTCTCCAACGACCTATCTTCTCTCAGATCGGGCGAGACCATCAGAGTCCAGAGGCGAGACCTCAGGGGGCACTCTTCAAGGTCACCTTGGTGGAGTTTCGGGTCTATGGAGATGTGAGGTCTGATTTCGTGGGAAGATATGCCCAAATCATCCAAAATCAACTTTGTAACTGGATCGTGTATACGGCGCAAATCACGGCCGCGTCACGTGTCAGGAAAAAGACATGCCCAATTTCAGTGTCGTTTCCCCGAAGACGGCGCCTGTTGCTGTGAAAACGGCGTCTTTGGGCGTCCAAACGTCTTTCACCGTCCATGGATTTGGAGCACATGTTTGCACCACATCCCCAACAAAGTAAACCGCCACGGCAGATTTCGGCGGCAGCAAGCTATCAACCCACACACCTTCCAACTTCCAACATGCAAAAACGTTTCGCCGGGTAGGCCAAAAAAGAAAAGAACATGACTTCCCTCTGAGCAGGTGGATTCCATCGTAGCGTCGTAGCTCGTCTCCACTCAGACGACACCTGCCAATCGTAGCTTGCTTCACCTCTCAGACGACCAGAGGCGCTGACGACACCCGAGTCACCGCCCGAGTCACTGGCGGCTGCCCCAACGACCCTCACCCCAAAGGGGCCTATCCGAAATCCAAAACTGTGGGAACCATGAGTACATGGTACATCTGCAATTTTGCTTGGCAAAGACATTTGCGATAATCCGCTTGCATTGGATTGGGAACCGTGTGAAGAAGAGATGGGAACCATTCACTGCGGCTTCTTCTTGCGGCTCCCATCGCCTCCTTTCATCCCTCGCCTCGCGCTCGATCGCCGAGACATTCCGCATCTGACAGCCGGCCGCCCTCGCGGCGGTGACAGGCCGAACTTTGGTTTGTTCATGGTGACCTGGGATGTTGATGGTTGCTGAAGAGATGCATGATCCAGTTTTAAACAGACATGTCAAAACTCTGGCAAAATCAATTTCTAGACTCTAGACATATAGGTAAATTTGATAAAAGCAAGCTGGGGCCAGCATCCTTCAAAAGCGAAAAACACAAACACCCAAGGTTGGGTGATGTCATCATTTCATGTGGGACCTTCAAACCACTGTTCTTTTGTTCGCACCAAACACAAACACCCAGCAACACACAACGATCACAGACTCGAAAACGTGGCGAACGGAGTCACTCCAGCGTGACGCTCAAGATATAGTTTTTCCTTTTTTTCTTTTTAAATACGGTGCTGTGTTTCCGTTGGGGTTGGTGTGACATGTTTGTTTTGTTTGTTTCGCATCCCAACCCCCCCCGCCTGAAAAGATCTCCGAGGAGGGTCCCGCCAGCTCTTCTGCGAGACCATCGGAGGTAACACAAGAACCGAACCTGTGGTGAAGCTATGGTTGTTGGATGTTGTTGGTGCTGGATGACGACTTGACTCGTTTTTGTGAACATGGGCACGGGTGTAAATTGCGTCAGGTTGTCATGTGGCCTGACTATGGTTGTCAATGTTGCACAAGAAATCCTCACAAATCTCACAAGTGTCCGTCCGGGGCGGTGACCATGAAAGCCTCATGCAACATCTGTGTGCTGAAGTCGATCGCAAAGCTGAAGTGACTGACACGCACAATAATACGCCCAGTTTTGAGATAGAAGAGCTTGGGGTAAATCGCTGGCGCTTGCTTTTGGTACCATACGATGCATACGAGCCGTCACTAGGTGGGCATGCCCGTTCGTGCCCCTCTCGACCCATAAAAGGTTGGGCAAAGCAGCCCAACTAACCGCCCGCTGAACGAAGGGAACCTCCCAACGAAACACCTATAATGGCTTATAATGGCTTATTATCATCTTATATCTGTTCAATGTTCAGTTGTGTGACGTGCGTCATCACTTCCCCTCAAAAACTACTTCCCAGAACTTTCGTAAGCGCAGAAGGTGGAGTGCTCATGATAAATGGTGCACCAATGTCTCTCAGCAGTTCTACCCTGTTTGCCCTTCGTTGTGCAAGCCATGTTGCCCAGCCACATTTGCAACTGGGTCTTCAGAATGTGTGTTGCCCACTTTGTGTCGGAGATCGCCCTCAGATGGCCCTAGGCTACTGAGCTAGTGAATTGAATCCCGCCTTTGGGGTCCCCTACACGGGTCCAGTACGAACTGCGATGGGACGCGACGAAGCAGGTGGCATCCATGGAGCCCACCCCTTCGAGATGAAGAACCGCCTCATGCCATCACCCCACAAGGCCATTGTCCATTTCGAGCCAAAAAAAGGGAAAAAAGAAAAGGATACCACGGGGTGAACAAACAGTCACGGAAGGCCTACAAATTCTCTGTGGGGCTGCCAGCGCTGCCTGGATGCGATGTCTTTTGATGCGTCTTTTCCTGGCTGATGAAAATCTATGAAAATCCCATGTGACGCAAGATCACAATAGAGAAAACCCATGAAACTCCTCAAATTCTCAACCTGAAATCTGAAGTTGGGTGAGGCACTTTCTGTTCACACCCATGTCGTCAGCGACTGTCGAGGGAATGGAGTGTATAGCGGTGGCACGGCATGCATTGATGCAGCCAGAGGCCAACCAGTTGAACGGGTTGGTCACTCTGAAAAGCAAAACAGCACTCCCCACAACAGGTCTTTGGCTGGCTGATCCAAGTCCGTCACATTCGACTCTCGGTGATGAAAAGATTCGGCGACCTCATGAGTCAAACAGGCCGAACAGGCCTCGCCGTTACCGGAAGCACTGCTGGGGCGCGTTGGGTGGTTTCGAGCGCAGAACACGAGTGCATGGGTTGTTTGGTTTTTACCGGTGGACGCGACCATGTATACAAATACATGGTATTACATGGTCTGGAAATGGTTCCATTCGTTGGGGATTCGCTCCTTTTTTCAGCCGGTCCGGTGAAAAAAAAGGCACACCCCGAGTCCGACATGACTGTGACCTGCGCCGTCGCTCCGAACGCACGCGGAGAGTGACGAACTCGTGTTTGGCTTTTCGCGACGAACGCGGTGGACCCCGGGAGCTGTACAAGATCCGAGAGAAAGAACGGCGCCTGCATGCACCTGACCGGCATCGGATGCGGACAGAAGAAGCTATCAAATCCAGTGGAGCGAAGCTACCAAACGGACCGCGTGAGCTGAAGAGAACGATCCTCAGGAAAATGTGCACAAACCATGATGTAGCCTCCTGGTAGTTGTTTCTCTAGGTGTTGCAATCTACTGCGAGGATGCTTTGGGAGCACTGAAATCATCCGGTCCTGGGTAAGAGGAAGAAGATGGACATGATATGACCCTTTGAGGGGTTCGGTATGTTCATGGTCATGTGCAGTGTCGCGGTGACCGCGGAGAAAGCAGTGACAGCTGAGACCACTTGCCAGCTGCTTTGGGCATCCATCCCATGGTCAAACAGTACTCTCAAGCTCGGGGCTGCTCCATGCTATTCACCTTCAAAAAAAATGTCTGCGTGTGGCCCGACTAAGTAGAGCCAGAACCGAAAGTTGGGGTCTCCTGGAAGAAGCTTCCCTTCAACTCTGGTACTTCAAGTTTGGCATTAACCTGTCACTGAACCTTCCTTGTCTATCCTCACTTCAAAAACCTGACCCGGAAATGTCCACGTGCTGGTTGCTTCGCCAAGAGAAACTACCCAACTACCACACGGGTGTGTATTTGAAATCCGGGAGATCCCCAAGCGATGGGTTTTGGTCTATTTCCCTTCTTCCAGAGGGTCTTTTGGGACGTCTCCCTATTTGAGCTACACACCCACATCACCGCTCATCCGCAGAGTCTTCGTCTTCGTTGCACCTCGGTCACGTGAGAAACGCAACGCGGCGAACGAACGACCGCAAAAGCGGCGCACCGCGGGGAACGTCTCGGGTCCTGAAGTAAGAGACGTCTCGTCTCTTCCCGAAACAAAAACAATGATCGGTCCCTTTTTACATATAAGGAACATCAAGAAAGCTAGGATATCCTATGTTTATCCTATGTTTATCCTATTCTTCCCCTCTTTTATAAGCACCTGTTCAAAATGCAACTGATCTTGACAGAAACACCCCAAAACCGCGGCTATGGTTTTCCATGTGCTTCATTTGGAATGGTGTAGATTTCAGGGCCCTGTTGTTTCTGTCAATCGTCACTTGCGCATGGATAGATATATATATATAATATATATATATAGAGAGAGAGAGAGAGAGCAAACCCCAAAGTCCAACATTCAAGGCATCTACAACCTGTCCACTGAATACGCACCCCCAACACACAACCACCCCCTAAGCACACTCCTACCCCCAAGCACAGAACCACCCACGCGCCCGTCCGACTCCTCTGGGCGCCCGGGCGAGTGCCACTCGTCCAGGGCGGGTTCGCCCCCGGCGATCTCGAAGCTTTGGAGGCTCAGCTCGTCCAACTGTCGGGACCTCCGCGCTCGATGTGCGCCGGAGGAGGCACACAAGCGTTGTGGGCAGAGCAAACCATAGTGGGAAGTGATAAGAAAGAGCGGAGGGGAAGTGACAGTGGGAAGCGACATTAAAAGCAGTTGGCTTACAAGGACCAGTTATTTAACATATGTTAATATATTTTAGTGTGGGACAGGTTATCACCCTTCAATGATCTCAAGGCGTTTCTTGAGAATAAATCCACTGTAATTGCTCAAACCCCGTTGGAAGGGCGGGAAGCGCTACAGCTCTGGGGCCCTCAGAGTTTGGTATTACAAAGTCCAATTGGGCCGCGGCCGCAGCCAAGAAAATCCCAGGCACCCTCGGGGTGTCTTTCCGCGGATGCGCTGGGTGTCTCGTCCTTCTTCTTTGACTCCTTCTCCTTTCCTGCCTTCTTCTTGGTGTTTGTATTTTGTTCGGTTGGTTCCTCCTCTTTCTCCTCTTCCTTTGTTGCCATCTTCTTAGTCAAAATGTGTGCGTCGCCCCTTCAACCTCCCGTGCACCCTGCCACCTCCTTCTAGGCCCACATGGCGGCACTCAAGATCTTTTGAGTCAACCCCAACCTCCCTCTTGCAAGGCCCACTTCCTATGTGGACCCTGCCACCTCCTTCTAGGCCCACCTTGCAGGAATGGCAGCTTTCAAGATGTGTGAGTCGACCCTTCAACCTCCCTCCAGCCCGCTTCCTATGTGGACCCTGCCAACTGTTTCCTAGACGTCGCTCCAAAACATACGGATGAAACAGGCATTATACACTATCTCTGGGCAAGTTGCCCGTAGCCCGGCCTCCACATATTTAATTGGCGTAGTTTACAGGATGGGTGTGGGATCCTGGGATATTTCAGGTGGTTCTAGTCTTCCACCAACATGGGGAATCACCTCCTGCGCCGTGCAAAATATGCGCCCTGCCTATCCCTGCCTTCTCTATCCCCCGTGCCTGCGGCTGCGCCCAGAGGGCGATTCTGCCTGCAACTGGGCCACCTTCTGCCGGGCCACGTGAAGCCGTTGCTCCACCTGAGGTGTTTCATTGCTGGGGATGCAGATGCGACCCAGGCTCTTGTTGGATGAAACAACCCCCCAAAAAAAGAACTAAAAGAACAGCGCTACTTGCTTTAACTTCCCAACATACCCAAACAGGTCTGCTACAGTAATAGAAACTAATTGGACACCTCACAAACCGACTTTGCCCGAGTACTTTATTTGGGGGGAGGCTCGGGCTAGAGGAAAGCTACGGCCAACCCACTGCTTGGTGGCTTGCCACCTTTTTGGAGCACCACGACGCCACCGATCCACCGACCCCTGCGCTTCCCCGCCAACTGGAGCTGCTGGAGCTGCTGATCCACTTTCGACCTCGACACCGGGAACGGCCACGCATGGCCACGCAACGAAGCGAACCAGCCGGAGGGTTATGGTGGGGAGTCGATGGAAACCTCAAGACTCAAGCTGAGGATAGAAGTGATGTGGTAAATGCCTCTTGTAGACAGAAAAAAAGATGACCAGAAGATGTCGTCCAGCAACTTAGATATCAGTCTCTTTTCGTCACACTATAGAGGTAGCTGCGGACGTGAGCACGATTCGCGACAAACAAGCAACACACAGTTTAGCCTCCAACCCTGGTGTTAAAGGACTGAGTTTATGCATCCCGCTATGTTGATGGAGAATGATGGAGAAAATCCCAACTCTTCATACGCACGGATTTAATGCTTCTACTATCTTCTACGGCATTCATGGTCCAGCAAGGATATATAGATTTGCCAGGTCACCGGGAGAGTTGAACACTGAAGCCTAAAATCACAAAGCATACACATATGATCACATATGATATCACTGGACCTGCTAGGCCCGGCCCCCTCTCCGGGCCACCCGGCTCGTGCAGTCGACGCCTAGGTAAAACTGAGCTGAAAAGCCAAGACACAGGGGATGAGTTGTGTGTCGCCGCATTGCTTCCTTCGACTCCTGTCCTTTCGGAAGCAAGAATGGATTGCTGTGCTCGCTCTTTTTGTGGAATTAAGGACTACCTGGGACTGTCGAAACCCCAACACGATTCTGGTCGAGAGGAAGGATTTGCATGGTTTGGGTATCTTGGCCCACAGCCATCCTCCACCTGGCCACGCCACGCGGAAATTCCCCGTCCATTCTTAGAATGGGCACTTCTCGTAGAAGGGAGCAGCCCGCTTCACCGAACAGTTCCAGGTACCTGGGTTCGCTCGCCAACGCTCAGGTGAAAACCGCAAGACGCCCCGTCAAAACAATGGCCCACAGCAGTCTGTCCATCCGTACCAGGGCCCAGGGGATGATGATGATGATGATGATGATGATGATGATGATGATGATGATGACGATGATGATGATGATGATGATTGTGATGATAATGATGGTGATGATGATGACGACGATGATGATGGTTAGTAATGGTTAGTAAGGATAGTACAGGCCTTTGTGACAAATAGTGGTATAATTGTTTACCAACTGTTACAGGTAATGCGACAGACCCAAACAATGGCACCGCCCCTTCTCTCTTTTGTGCTGACCACAATTCTGCAAAGCCGCCTGGCACTCACTTCCAACTACGATGTCCGTCTTAGAAAGGCACTCGTGCGTGTGGTGTGATCGGCATGCTGTGGCCACAGCGACAAATGCCAGATGCTTGGTGAAAGGATTGGGCCCCTGCCGACCAATCTCACCACCCTTTGTTTCCCTCCTGAAGTTCTCACCTTTTTCAGAGACCAGGTCGCTCAAAAACCCAGACAGGCAATGACAGGCACACCTCTAAGGACCCCACAGCCACTATGCTGTGCATCCTCGAACTCGAATCTCCTCACCAGTCAGACCGGCTCGGGCAACAGCATCCAGGTCTGTGGGCACCACGTCAAAAGAGTTTGATCCTGTATGTCTGTCCCTACAAGCCTCACCGTGGATCTCTTTTCGACTGAATGATGGTGTGTTTTTCCCCATGTTTCCTCCCCAAAAACTCAGCCCTCATCCGATTTGCTTCGATTTCCGCGCCCCGGTCATCACCACGGACGTCCCCCGGGCGCTTCACCACGCCGCGCGCAGCGGCCTCCGGGCGTCGTCCAGCTCCTCTCGCTTGGCGACGAGCTCCGAGTTGGCCACGTCACGCTGGCGCCTCCGCGACGGCCGCAAGCGCGGCCGCAAGGGCTAAGCTCCAAGTACGTGAAGATGTGGAGGGGTCATTGAATTTTGAGTAGTAGTTTGTGGGTGAGGTATTTAGTAGATAGATACTATAATGGATCAGAATCACACCGGTTCGCTGAAGACTTGTAACACATCAGCACTCCAATTCTGCGAAGGGTTTCTTGTTGATCGGTGCTCAGACCCCCGAGACGTCGCTCGTTCACGACTGAGTCGACCTCTCTGGCGCCACTCGTAGGGAAACCAAGAGGGAAACCAACGGTTCGGTGGTTCGATTCATAAAAAAATCCACCTGGTTCGCTTCGCCGCACCGCGATGGCGGCACCGTGGTGTTATGGACAAAGCTTGACGATCAGATCGTCCAGCTTTGACCATCTTTGTTGCACTGCCGACCTCTGGCCGTGGCGTTTGACCTGGAGACTGTGACTCGGCCGCGTCGCGGTATTTCACCAAGTATCCACCCCATCCGCAGGAGGGCTTTCACCCTCTCTCCTCGCCTCCAAAACCCCCCCCCTCTCCCACTGAGCTCTCCAGGCTGTAAGGTGGCCACCGAATCCGCCAAGCACGACACCTCCGGATGGGGGAGAACGATCGGGTGTGCTTCCACAGGGCTGTGCAGGCGATGCTTCCGAACAGTGCAGGTGTGTGTTTAACACACAGGACATGCATGCCGGTGTGTGTTTTGCCTGAGGTTTCATGGGCTCAGCTTTGGATCACTGAGACCTCTTGTATGATTTGTATGTGGAGAAGGACCAGCAGGTGACCAGCAGCAATGAGATACTACCCTCTTAGAAGGTGAAGTGTATTGAAACGGTTTGCTGCGACGTTTGCGCCGAGGGGCTCTGATCATCCGCAAGAGCTTGGGGTCTCCGTCGAAGGCCTCATCATCGACCTGGCCGAGCCCCCGTGTGGTTGAAGCATTTTGTCAGACACATGTTGGGAGAATCGCTTCTTAAGCTCAGATGGTTTTAATTTAGAAGTTTGTGATGCGACAAACGGGAGGCCTGGGTGCGGTGGTCGATGAAAAATCTGTCGACAGGGCACAACCATTGAAAAGGTTACCGAACAATTCACTTGTCAGAAGTTTCCAGAAGATTCTCTGAATCTGTTCATCAGACCGATCGACCCTGACACGCAAAGCCCCCGAGCTCCTAAAGTTGCTATCTTTGAGATGTGATTTTTGGATGCTGTGCTGTGCAAATGTCTTTCCTCAACCAAATGACCATTGGGTCAATCAGAGACAACAAATCATACATCATCATACATCCACCATCTTCCACCTTCGGTTGCAAAGCACTCTGTCAAAATTTGGCGACTTTCCTCGCTCCGTCGCCTTCGCCGCAGAAAGAGCTCTCCATTGCTCCTCGTTCAAGGGATCTTTGCCTTGAAGGTACGACTCAAACGCCGCCTGCGGCGGAGGCGAAGGCCCATCCGAAGGAGCTGCGCCGCGTGCTCGGCGTCGGCGAAACCGTTCTCGAGACCGAGAACGGCGTCGGGGCGCGTGCCAAATATATGGCGTAGCGAATACGGGCGTAGCCGGCGCTGCCGGGGTTACGAATACGATCGACAATCCAATCGAAGATCGTTCAAGTGTCAGTAGAATGCTTTGCAAGCATAGAGATGCTTGTTCCAATTGGCCCGGCTGCCAGAATTGAATGTCTAGAAGCTAAACTGCGTCCTCGTGCACGCTAGATCTAATCCTGCAGACTGAAGAAGAGACCCCACCAGGAGCCTCCAAACAAGAGGCAAACCCAGCAGTCGTAGAAACATGTACAGTAAACATTGAATAACATTGATAGTGTTGTAAGTGTTGTAAGAAAAGTTATGAGCTCATCTTCGATTGCCCAGGCTCTATGCTCGCTGTCTCTGTCTCTCCAAACGACCGACCGCTCTCTCTCTCTCTCTCTCTTCGGCTGCTCGGCCGCCTCTGCGGTCGCAAGCTTCTTCACCGCCACCTCGGATCGGGCCAGGGACAACCATCAGATCTGCCACGGAAAAAATTCAAAAACCAAAAACACGCCCAGTCAAATAACCCAAAGATGCTCTTTCACGGTGGTGGAAAAGAGGTCATGGAGTGGTGAATTGAGGGGCGCTTTCTTTAAGCGAATTTTGGAAACGCCTGCGCTCGACTTCCAGGCTTGCCAGCTGCCAGCTGGCCCTAATTACTATAGCTGAATAGATCGCAGAAAAAAAACGACCAATCCCAACAAGACGAAACACTCACGACATTAAAGGACTGCTTTACTGCCTATAGTGAACAATGCGTCTGAGAAGCCTTCAAACCTTCGGTAGAACCCGCTTGACAAGCCTTCGAATCTCCACACGTTTCGTCACTCTCCGATACAAAGCACGCACGCTATCCGAGCACACTAAGTCACTATCCTCCTCTAAGCGGCCCAAGCTCTCCACCATCCCCCCAGCTTCCACCCACCGAACTTCGGGACCTCACCGAACCAGCGGCTCTCAGCCCTCCCACGCTCAGCGTGGCGTTCACATCGTCCAGCTGGCCCTGTTGATGCGCAAAGTCCTGGTCGCACCCGGACGTCGGACGTCGGACGAAGCCCATCCGTCTGACGGGGCAGGTTCCGTCGATTCTGACGGAGGTCTCCAAGAGACATGACGGAACCAGGTGCAAGAGACAGACCAGAGGTCAGGTGTATCGACATAATCTGTAACAAAATAAGGCACGTCCACCAGTCACAGAAAACACACTGTTTACAGCACGTCTCATGTCTCCGCAGGGCGGGAACCTCCAAAAATCCCATGATTTCTGTAAGGAACAGGACCCAGGGTAGTCAGATGTAGTCAGTCTCTTGGGCAAATCAGTGGGGTCTCTGTCAGTTTTTATGGTTGCAAAGTGCTCCTGAACCGCTTGCTGCCACAAAGCGCGGCTATCATAGTAGCCTTGAGCTCGTTCGATGACAGAGCGGCCAATTTCCTGGCTCCAGCCGGGAGGCATGAATATGAAGCAAGCAGCCCAACCAACAGGTATGCCATATTTGGATGCCATGACTTATAGATCCTATAGGCTCATGGCGTGTTCCTTCAACTTTCACATGTGAGCGGCCGTCTCCGGCCGCTCCAGTCTCGCTGTTCTCGCCCCCGAAAGGATCCGAAAGGTGGCTGAGTTGGACAAGTGTCGCCCCTACGTTGGAGTCTTTAGCAATTGATAGGAGGCCCCGTTCCGCCTCCAACTCAGCGCGAAAGCCCGAGTTCCGGATGTTCGAAACGAACAGGTCAATGGATCAATCTTAAGCGGATATGGCTCCGAGGAACACCTGTGGGGATCTAAGTGCTTTCTGGCCCACACCTAAGTACATCATCTATCTCACTACCTTAGTTACCTCTCAGCTCTGTCCGCGGTGCAGTTTCGGCAGCTCTGTCCTGCATCAAAGCGTTGAATTCCGCCACCCAGTCCGTCAAAGTCTTCATGTGCACCTGCGGAGGACGTCGAGAAGACTCGACGTCCAGACGTCACGTCGGTGGAGGGACAGCCCTCTCGGCACTGCTACGGCAGTGCGGTGACAGCCCTCTCGAAATGCAAAGGAGAGCAAGATATGATGTACGACGAGGCCTGTCAACGGGTGCGGTGCACATCTTGACCGACATATGAGGCCCACCAGTGGGCACCGTCTGGTCGTTTTTCAGGGGTTTGTACATGTTTGTACATCAAGCAAAAGCTTTATCGATCGCTAGAAGTACCCACGTGCCAAACATGGAAAAAGAAAACTCAGAAAGTTCTGCAGCTCAACCAATGCTGCGACGCAGCTCGACAATTTGTTTTCTTGTTAAGCCCGCACTTCAGCCCAGTGTCAAACGATGTCCCCTGAATGAACTCTTGGAACGGTTGCCCCGCAGCCATTTTCGGGCCCCGCAGCCGGGCCTTCGTAGCTTAATCTGCCCCATTCTAAGGGCCGGGCAAATGGTTCCCTTCTCCCAGGCGACAAACCCTTTCCCAGGTCGTGCAGTCCGGTGAATTCCACTGGATGGGGACACAGTCCGGTGTCCGGTGGCTTCAGAGCCACGCCGCATGTCAAAGAGACAAAAAGACAGGCCGGTGAAGGCACAGGCGGCACAGGGCTGACATCGGCACAGGGCTGGTGTACGAGTTCTTGGAGTCTTCTCTCAATTGGCAAATGTTCAGGGTGGAATGCTGCTGTGCACAACTGATCACAACTGAGCAGCAGGTTTCAACTTGCTGGAATCGCCTCTTGGAGTGTTTGCTTCCCATCTTCAGTTCTTCTTCCTGCTGCGCTGCAGCCGATTGGAGGGCTCCTGATCCCCGGCTCTGCTGCGCCACCGGTGACCCGGTGACCCGGTGCCGCAACGAGGTGAGCGTCCAGGCATTCAACCGCTGGACGTTCACGTGTTAAAGCGTCCAGGTTCGGAATGCAGTGCAAGCACTAACGTTTATAGTGGTCCCCAAATAGATAGAAACGATGTGCAATACATGTCAATGCATGTTGAAATTAGGAATTATATGTGTCTATCTGTTTGGGGGGTCTATATATGGTTTTCACGTGGCAACACTTCCACTGCCACCTTTTCTCTGTCTCTCTCTCTCTCTCTCGCTCTTTCTTTCTCTCTCTCTCTCTCTCTCCAAACGATTCCTTTGAATCATCCATCCACCCTTAGAAAAAGAACACTATCTACACCCCTCCCGGAATCCCAAGCAATCTGCTTCGATACAGTTCCCTCACACATTCACGCATAGTGTAGTAGCGTAGCAGTGCCGGATCTGGAACACAACAGTGTCCATGCCTTTAACCAATTGCTCACTGATGCTAAGCAACAAGGTGAGCCCGCGGACCCAAAAGCAAAAAGAAACGCGCAACCCAGGAAAAATAAACAAACACACATTAGCAGACCAAAACGAAGCATCAGCAACCATGTGCTCGACGCGACAATCCTGCCGTTTCGGCCACGACTTGACTGCATTGCGCACATTTTGGACACTCAAGACCATCGTATAAGCCCCGCAACACAGCTCCACTCACCTCCCAACGTGCTTCCGCGAAGCATGGAGCAGCACTACCCCCACCCATGCTTCGTTCTACTTGTGCACTGACCCGGAGCAGCCTGCAATGATGCTTGTGGTGCAACCATGTCCTCGTAACTAGCATATCAGCCGCGCAAGCGTCCACACCCATGCACTCCCCAGCCCCGTCCACACCCATGCCCCGTCCACACCCACGCACCTCCCGTCTCACTCCCCTCCCTCCCCAACCCCGTCCCCACCCACGCACCTCCCGTCTCGCTCCCCTCCATCTTCCCTCCCCAGCCCCGTCCCCACCCATGTGCCTCCCGTCTCCCGTCTAGCCCCTCCATCTTCCCTCCCCAGCCCCGTCCCCACGTCTCGCCCCTCCCTTCCTTCCCCTCCCTCTTCCCTTCCCAACCCGTCCACCTCCACATCCATCTTCCGTCCCCGACAACGCACGCTTTGTCTCGCACTTCCGCGGCACTAGCGACTAAACAAGAACCCAAGCATCGGAGATGCTTTTGGGAAAAACATGCGATTAATCTGCAAAAATGCATGACAATTACAAATGACAGATGGGGTCTCTCAAAAAAGGCCTTGGAAGATTTCTATATACTATTAATCAACATGATCTGTCGCCCTTTGGTGTCCATCCAATCGCACCCGTTGATCCCCGTTGATCGCCCCCGCCTCGTCCATGCGTTGGTATTCCTCCTCGATGGACGCCGCCGAGCGCTCCGCCTGGCACAGTGGGTACGCAACAGTTTCAATGAATGCAAAGCCGCTTCCACACTTGCACTAAAAACTTTTTCGGCTGAGCCAAGATTTCCAAATGGGCGTTCTTGGCTGCAGTGTACAAAGCCCTTGCTCCATCTGTCCGCGTTGCATTCCTGTCGGCTCCAGCCTCGAGCAACAATCGCACGACTTCCAAGTGGCCTTTCTGGGTTGCAATGTACAAAGCTGTTGCCCCTTTTGCAGTTGCTGCATCTTTGTCAGCTCCAGCCTCCAGCAACAATCGCTCGACTTCCAAGTGGCCGTTCTGGGCTGCAATGTACAAAGCTGTTGCCCCATTTGCATTTGCTGCATCTTTGTCAGCTCCAGCCTCGAGCAACAATCGCACGACTTCCGAGTGGCCGTTCTGGGCTGCAATGTACAAAGCTGTTGCCCCATTTGCATCTGCTGCATCTTTGTCAGCTCCAGCCTCGAGCAACAATCGCACGGCTTCCGAGTGGCCGTTCTGGGCTGCAACATATAAACCTCTGCCATTCGGGTCCTGCGGCTTTTGAAGTAGTCGTTCAATGTGAGCCACACGATTTCTCCGGCAGCTCCTAAGTAGTTCTTCTTGCATTGTCTCGTCAGTGACACACCATGGCAAAATCACCAGCTGTACACTTGGTAGTGATCGTAAAGGCAGGTCATCCTCCAGTTCACCAAGTTCCGCACTGAAGAGTCTTTGCTGAAACCTTGAGCACCCAACCTGAGCTGAGAGAAGACGCTTTAGGTCCCGAACTGTTTTTCCACCGTGTACCATGCAACACAGCTCATCCTCATCAAGGTGAGCAACTGTTCTACCAGACACAGCTGTGACCTGCATCGTTGCGGTTAAGAAACCGCAGGTGTCAGCTTGAGCCATTGTCAATATCAAAGCGACACAGAGATGCCGGAGATTAGAACAAGAAACAAGCAACACCCCACCTGCGGCAATGCCAATAAGGGCTAACTAGTAGTGGGTTTTTGCTCACTCTTACAGTAATGTGTGGGCATAGATACGCAACACCAATGAAACATTCAGAATCTCCAGAAAAATGGAAGACTGAACAACTGCTAGTTGTTACAGTAGATGTAGTGGAAATTTTCCTAACATTGACCTCTGACTGTGAAACATGCAAAAACCACATGTCAGAAGCCATGTGTGTGATCAAAGCTGGAAAAAAAAAAACAAGTCCAACCCCGAGAAAAAGGACCGAACGACCTTCAACAACTCACCCAGTGAGCAAAGTGTTTGCCTCCACAAGCTTGGGTGGAAGCTTCACCACATCCTCTGCCCTGCGCCCCATGGAGGGGGGGACGTCCGACGGGTGCGACGACTCACAGACGAACAGTGGCTTGGCGAAATTGCTTAGTTCACCAAGCCACATTCCAGGTGAAACATGCTCCAAGCTTGGTACCTTTTGAATAATCTCCTGCCCGGAATCTTCGGAGGCGCTGCGGCACTGCTGTGGGTGTGGTTGGAGTTTTGGTCGGGGAGATACGTATCGTGCTCCATCACTGGTGTCCAGAGAGAAATCGTCCCACCTTCACCGCATGATCCACATGATCATCGTATCGTCGTATTTGATTCGACTTTGTTTTGCAGTGACATGATTCATGCATTCATGACATGGTGGAATGTCGCTCTGGTGCAGGACTGCACCAGAGTGACAAGTCGATGCCATCTATGTGGTGAACATACCATTCTGGCAACCTTCGATGTGACGTGGACCATAGAGTACGTCTTCTTCTGAAAGGTTCCCTTCTTAGGACCAAGATGACCAAGCAGCAGGTCATGGATCGTGTTTTTGCTGTTGTTGTCTTATGATCGGGTTTTGTCGGATGACATGCGCCTGTTTTTGACGACCAAAACAGAAGAACGCTGGTGAAAAAGAGGTGAAGCACCTGGAATCGGGTCGTTTCACCATGCAGAACGAACAACCCCGGTTGCAGTTGTTTGTTTAACTTATTGTTTGCAGTGAATGAAGATGAACGAAACATGTTCTGATTAAAGTCACATGAGAAGACGAGTTCTATTTCCTTAGCGCCTTAGCACGGGGTTTTCCTACGGTGGTCCGTTCGTTTGGCTGGCAGACGCGCTGCCATCCGGACAGGGTCAGTTCTCTCCCCCTCGATCAGGACATCATAGGACATCCAGTTCGCCGTCCTACCCGTCTTCACCACTGTTGTTTACCACGAAACCTAATTTTAAACCTCATGTTTCAATGTATAGTTATACGTATAACATGACATATAATTTATAATTAATTACACTCCTTGATGTTCACATGGTCTGCAGCAACCCACCTCGGTTACGGAAGATGGGCAGGTCATGGTTGCTTCTCCGCCCCCACCGCAGCGAACGGCGACATCTGCGGAGCTTGAGATCATGGGAACGCGCCCCTGTTTGGCTCAGGCGGGGCCATAGCGGAATTCTTCTGTGATGGGTCACAGTTCACCCATTGAAATCACCTCTGGTGGGCACAGAGCACCTCACTGACTTCTTCATGTCCGTGGTGTGGATCATCCAGTGAAGAAGAGCTTAGAGTTGATCTAGAACACAAAAAAAGCTGGGGATCCGGGTGAACCCAACCCCCTTGGAGTGGAGCGGCCTAAAAGCTAGACTCCCCGGCTGGACTCCGAGACCAGCTCCGACTCCTAAAGCCCGAGTGTCGTCGGAGGCTCCGAGCGCGCGTCGCCGCGTCGCGCGAGCGTCGCCTGCTTCGGAAGGTCGAGGGCAGTCCAGGAGGAACGGCATCACGCGCCTCGCCCTCCTGAGGGAAACGGCCCACCCGGTTTTCTTGTGGCGCTCGTAGACTGGGACAGGCTCCGGAAAGCGTCCAACGCTCGGACCTCAGACGTTGGGACCCACCGAAGGGGTCCTCTCTGTCTTCGGTCACCGGGATTCGTCAGAGTTGGCCGGAGAGTTGAGGTGGGAAGGTGGTGGGTGCCAGTGATCCTGAAGCCGTTGCACTTCTGAGAAGAGGATGGGGCCTTTTTTCACTCTGGGGCAGTGCGCAAAAGAACCGGCTCAAAACCCGAATCCCTCACCCCCGGCTCTCCCAGTGAATCCAGTTGGGGAGCCCGGGTTCCCATGAGGGTCCGCATCCCACCGCTTTTAGGGGTAAGGAAACAGCAGTCCCTCCGCCAGGTCGATGATCCCCACCCAGGTGCTTTGGACCCGTTTCCGCCTCCTCAGCATCCTCAGCACCTGCGCCGGTTCGTCCAGAGGCGGTGCAGGGAAGAGGTTCGACCTGCCCCTTTTGTGCCGGGCGGTGGTCGCCGACGGGGGCAACCGTCTGTACCCTGGTAGTGAAGAGGGACATCGTCCCATTGTAGGTCCATGCAAAGCTTTATTGAATCTGGATCCAGTTATATAGTGTTATATAGTTATATACAACTCTTTTATATATTGAATTATTGGGTCACCAGTGATTCCAAACACTAAAGGGCCCTCCTGAAGTCCCGGAGAGGATGAAACTCCAGTTTTCCGATGCTGACCTTTAAGAGAGAGGTCTTCCTTGCCCCGTCTCTTGCCCCTTCCTTCAAAGAGGGGGCATGGAAAACAATTGAGCCCATCTTTCAGCATTGGAAGAATTGCATGTCCCCCAGAAAATGCTATGGAGAGGCATGGAGAGGCTCGAAGAAGGGTGTGCTCGGTGTGCTCTCCTGTCATTCTCTGAAAACTGGGATGAGAGGTCTGGTCGAGCAAATGGTTGAGTCCCGCTCGCCTGGGGACAGGTGGTCTTTTAGTGGACACGGAAGAAAATAAAGGCACTGCAATCTCATAGGGAGAATCACTCCAACTCTGCCCAGTCGCAGAAAGACTTGGCAACTGGCAAACCTTGAGGCACCATGCACCTGTGTTCATCTTCTCTCTTCCGAGATCACTGAGTCACTGAGTCACGACCACTGAGTCACTGAGTTGCACACCGTGTTCCTCCTTCTCCGGCTCAGGAGCTTCTTGTGCTTCTTCGACTTGTTGCTTCTGGCACAAAAGACATTTGGCCGTGGAGCGGCAAACAAAACAAAACGCGAAAGCCCTTGCAGATGTCCAGTTGATCGCAAAAGATGTGATCACCTCCTTTCATCGCTTCCCATTTCGTTGACTTGTTCCGATTGATTTCGAGGCCCTGGGAGAATGACGCACCTGAAGTTTGGGCAGTGTATCAATCTGTTTCGGTCAAAGCCGCCCTTGGCTCAGGGCGCCGGTGACGTAGTGCCGCAGGGTCCACTTGATCTTCACCCCTTGGCAAGCCCCTTTTGGCTGACCCAACCGATGCTATCACAAGCAACTGCACCGACCGCCCACCCCTCCGTGTTGGTGTTCACCCAAGACCCAACCACCGCCCCTGGCGACCGTCCTCCTTGTCTTTCACCAAGATCTTCGCCCCCTCTGGCGTCAAGATCTGCCGCTTTGCTGGGAGGATGCGGAAGGACACTCTCGCAGCGACGGAAATGCGCCGGAGGAATCGAGAGGAATCCGCACACCTCGCACACACCGAAGGGAACCCTTTCCAAATCATGAGGCTCCATTTTTTGGGGTGAAGAAGGTTTTT